GCCGAGATGGAATGTAGCCGGGAAATCACCCTCGCCATCTGCTCTAGAGCTAATCGTGTGGGGCGGCGTGTGGGGCGCCGCTTAGCCTATGGGGGTGCACTTCTAGTGGATGGGGGACGGGGGTGCACCTGCACCCCTTTCATATGGAAAGTTACTTCCCTGATTACAGCTCCCCGTATTGCACCTAATCAGGGAACGGCCAGCAAACGAAGGAACTATTTCTGGATGACAGGCGAATAACCGCTCACGCAAGGAGCGGAGCTCCGCCCCGTCCAAAGTGGCCAACAAAGCAGAGACAGAGGCAGCATCACATCTTCCATCAAAGAACTGGTTTCTGGCTTGGAAGATGAGCTCCATCTTTGCATCCGAGTCGGTGCTGTCAGGAATCAGCTGCTCTAATGGAGTGAGAGTAGTGAGACGACTAGCTATTGTATCAGAGCTGCCTGGTCTTCGTAGCATTTGCACCGATTCTTCTCGATCGGACTCTGAATTCTGTCCCTCCTGCGTATTACTTGAGGCATTGCTATGTAGCTAAGTCTTTGGCAGAGTTTCATTATCTATGCTTTGCAAACAGTGCCATAACAACTCAGTTAATTAATCACCAAGCTTCTTTGCAAGTTCCAATACAGTTGAATCGCACGCGATTTGAGTGCAAAAATCAAGAAAAGTGCCAACTTGTTCTCGTAAAATATTTTGAATATTGACCTAAAAAAATGAGTAATTTCCAGATAAAATAACAGCGAAATCAGTTTTCGCTTGCCAATAAAACTCACAGATATTGAAGCTCCATTATTAAAGGAACATTTTAGTATATGCCATTCTTGATAAAAACTTCTTAGCCACGCAATACCAGCGCAAAATAAAGAGACACTGAAAAAAACGACCAATCACTCCGATTTACCATAGGAAAATACATAGAAAATGTATGTCTCAACTGCGCCAAATATACAGACAGTTATATACCTACATGTGACGTCATGATTAGCCCGACCAATCAGAAGCAAGTTGTTTTCAGCCACAAATTATTAATTTCTGAACTAACTAGGCATTTTTTTAACAAAGTGATTTTAAATTAAATCATTAAAAATTCTGAGCTTTTTTATTTTACCAAAACATACAGAGCATGCAGATAGGTCCCAACCCTATTGCCCAAAATTGAGTTTGAAAATTTGACGTCATCATTTTTGAACAGTTTTTTCGCTATAACTTGGCCAAAAATCGAGGTATCGATCTGAAATTTGGTATGTAGATAGAAGACGGGAGGTACTATCACATATATTCTGGTTTTTTCGAAACTCAAAAAACTTTTTGAATTTTTCGGCTAATATATCAAAAAAAAAAGTTTTTTTGATTTTTGGGGGTCAAAACTCAAAAAATTCAAAAATCCGAGATAGCAGTTTTTTAGCCCTGTCAATTCTACACCTTTTATGTCCTGATCATTTTTCTATATCGTCAAAGCTGTAGGCCTGACGGGTCTTCTCGCGAAGGTCTCTTTTCGGTCGAAAATGACAGAACATGACGTCATTCTGACGTCATTTGTGGCCAACCTATCATAGCCTCTGGAAAAATTCTTGGTCACAATGTGTAAAATTGATGCCCGGAGGGGTGCTGAAAGTTTGGTGGCGATATCTCTAGCCGATTAGGAGATATCGACCGAAAAGGACAGGGGGGGGCCGTTTCGGCCCCCCCCTACGGGGCGCGGGTTTTAACATTGCATGTATCATATAATAGCACTGTTTTACCATTGTCTACTGTGTCCATAAAACCATGTGAATTATTAGGTGTTTTTTTTCGTTTTGTCATATATCGACATGTATTACAGCTAACTGATCCTGTCTGTATGTGTGTCTGTGTGTTTTCCAGATTGTACTGATCACACGGCCGGCAGCCTGGAGCCCCTCACCAGGTGCCGTGGGCTGCAGGATCTATCAGTCACCGCCGCCGACCTCCCGCTACTGAGGGGGCAGCTGCCGGAGGGCCTCTGGTGTCTCAATGTCAGAGGTGAGATACCGCAGATCACACATGTAATGCTGGTATATGCAAATGAACAGGGGAGACGGCAAATGGACGAACCAATCAGCCTCAACTAGCAAGTTTCATCGTTAATCGTGTATATTACTCGTCTCGTATTGTGGTGAGAGGGGGAAGGGGTTCAATGCACGCCCTTCGATAGTGTTCATGCTTGTGGCATATGTGTGGAATATTAGCCCGCGCCGTGCTGGTGGCCTGAACTTTCCGCCGAGTGCTGGGGGGGGGCGTTTTCACGCCCCCCCGTCTAACTCGGCTCCTGGGCCACGTAGCGACACGCGGTAAGCGGCAATCGAAAGAGCGTCAAAAATAAGGACGAAAACACTTCGGTCATTTTTTGGGTCAGGTCAAAGGTCAGGTCACCAGAGGTCACCAAAGGTAAAATGTTGACTATTTCAACATTTTGGAAACTGCCAACGGCTATCTCGGGAACCGATAGAGCTACAGCGCCGCGGAAAAGCGCATTCGATAGCCCTTTTACAGACCTTTCTGAGTAATGTTCTCAGATTTGACCTCAGGTCAACGGTTTAGCCTCCAGAGGGCAAAAACTCCAAAAATAGCCGTTTTTACGAAAAACGTTTTTTCGTCAATAACTTTTGACTCATAAGCGCCATGACATTACTTTTGCCAGCATCGTGTTCCTCTCGTCGAGACGCGTCGAATGAACTATTCGTTGACCTTGAAAGGTCATTTTGAAAATTTGACCTCAGGTCAAGGTCATGACCTGACCGAAAAGGGTCATGTTGCATATCAGTCGATCCGTATCGTCGAGCTGAACACATCTGACGTGTTTTCACCGCTCTAGCACGTCTCTATCAAAAGTTATAGCCAAAAAACTGCTGGCGACCAATCATGACCTGAGATGACCTCAGGGGCACACAGAGGGGTCACTGGTGCATTTTTCCTATTCAGTGTGTCATGTTTACCTATGAACCGATGTTTGAGAGCGTTTTGAACGATATTCGTCCAAAAGAGGCGCATTTCAATTTTCTCCCATTGACTTATAATGGAGAGGTCGCAAAATTGACCTGACCTTAGGTCACAGATATCAAAAATCCGAGATATACATTTTATACATACTGTTACTCATATCAATCGCTGAAAGTTTCAAAGTGATCGTTCAGTCGGTGTAGCTATAGCGAGCCTTTGAACTTTTTCTGAGGTAAGGTCACTTGACGTGACCTGGTGACCTGACCTTGAACGGCCTAGGTCTGAAATTTTCACAACATGTGCGGAAATGATGTAGGAACACGTGTACCAAAAACGGCGGCGCTGCGCGCCGCCGTTTTTGAGATATTCGCGAAAAACCTGAGGGGGGGGGCGTAAAAACGCCCCCCCCAGCACGGCGCGGGTTAGTGTAACGTCACGGGGTGATTTAAAAGTTGAGGTACTAGCGATAGTTGCATTGTCACAAGCAGCAAATTTCCGAACAAACGTATTGAGTATTAGTGCGAATTCGGCATCCGGAAAATCAGGGATAATTTTCCGAGATCAACGGGATCATTCGGTGTTTTAGGCTGACACCGTGCACAACGGACATGCCAATGAGTAAAAGAGCCATGACTGAAGCAAAAGCAATATAAAAATATGACTTATTGCATCAATAGTCCTTGCAATGCCAAATTATTACCGGTGATCCCGGATAATTATCCCTCATTTTCCGGATGTCGAACGCACGCCTGATCGACAACTGACACTAACTGACTACATAGATATCTCGCTGACGACGACTGACGAGTCTGAGCAGACTGACGGGACTGACTGGCCGCGGCCCTGGCGGCCTGTCAGTCGTGTTATACACGGTTATACAGAGTATAGGTGGCGCCACGATCGAAGGCGGCCAGCACGGGAATGCAGGCATTGTTTCAATAAGTGTGCAAGTATTTACAATGAGGGATGATTATACAGACATAGTGCAAACCAATGAGAGTAGTATAAGTAGTTGCATAGACTACTGTATTACGCTATACTTATCGCATATATTTATTATGTTCATATTCACATTCTACATATGACTGCTGCTGCTAACAATTGCTGTGCGGCCGCTCGGCTGTGTCAGTGCTGGCTGTGTCAGTGTCTGACACTCTGGTGTCAGTGGTGCACCGGGGAGCTGGCGGCAGCTCTGTCCGACTGCAGTCAGCTGACACAGCTCTGTCCGACAGGGCCGGAGGTGACGGAGCCGAGGTGGCCGGGACGGGACCCGTTGGGTCGTCTGTCAGTGTCGCTCCAGGGGGTGACTGCCGACACCATCAGTCACCTGGCTGAACTGGGACGGACGGTCAACCGACTGGAGATATACGGTGAGCAGCGGCAGCACGGACAGGCCGCTGATATACGAGATCAGCGAATGGCGGACATCGAGTAACGGTGTGCCGGTGTCGCACCTAATGGAGACAGGTGTGATGCATACAGTGGCGGATCCAGGGGGGGGGGGCAAAATGGGCATTTGCCCCCCCCCCCCCCAACGGCATACTTTTAACATTACGCCTAAGGACGATGCATGGAAAGAATCGATAAATTGTTATGGTTTGCCCCCCCCCCCCCCCAAAAAACTCTGAGCTGGATCCGCCTCTGGATGCATAGCCAATGTGATTTGTGAAATAATGAAGCTAATTGAGCTCCAACATGGTGTGAATCAGTGAGGGAAGGGAATCGGTGACATATTCGTTTAGACTTAGTTGAACGTACACATAATGATTGTAATGCAATGTTCAATGCAGCTCAATGCATTGGTTGAACTGATTGCATATCATATATTACCATTGTTATATCATCGTCTGTGTCCATAAAACCATGCGAATTCATAGCTGATTCGTTTTTTCCGTATATTTACATATATTTCTGCCGACTGATCCTGTCTGTATGTGTGTCTGTGTGTTTTTCAGACTGTCCTGATCTCACGACCGGCAGCCTGGAGCCCCTCACCAGGTGCCGTTGGCTGGAGCATCTCACCCTGTCCGGTGGCATCCCTGACACCGTGAGCCTGGAGCCCCTCACCAGGTGCCGTGGGCTGCTCAGTCTCACCCTGTCCGGCGGCGTCCCTGACGCCGTGCTGGACAGTCTCAGCGGCTGCCCCGGGCTGTGGTACCTTACACTGGGGGACCTCCAGCGGCCGGCAGAGACGGCCTTCACAGCAGCAGCGGTCACCAGGTCAGTCAGCAGACACTGGCGAGGGCTGTCCTGTCAGACACTGACACACCGACACTGACACACTGACACTGACACACTGACACTGACACACTGACACTGACACACTGACACTGACACACTGACATACTGACACTGACACTAACACACTGACATTGACACACTGACACTAACACACTGACACTGACACACTGACACTGACACACTGAAACTGACACACTGACACTGACACACTAACACTGACACACTGACACTGACACACTGACACTGACACACTGACACTGACACACTGACACTGACACACTGACACTGACACACTGACACTGACACACTGACACTGACACACTGACACTAACGCATTGTCACTGACACCAACACACCGACACTGAAATACTGACACACTAACACTGACTCGTACGTCCGGCCGGCTGGTGCCGCTGTGTTTGTGTGTGACGGCTCTGCTGCTCTGCTCTGTTACAGACTGGTGAAGTCGTGTCGGCAGCTGGGTGTTCTGTACCTTCACTGCACGGCAGAGACCGGCCGGGCCGTGCTGACCGCCCTGAAGGAGGCGGACCTGGGCCGGGATAGTGATGGCCAGCCCCGTACCATCAATCTCCGTGTCCCCGGTAGGTGAGAGGGCGCCGCGCGCCGCGCCTCTGACCAGTCAGTCCCTCACAACAGACGCTGCACGGCGCCACCGGCCTCTCAAACACACACACTCGACCACCGCCGCAGGCCACGTCACGGACGGTGACGTGACGCGTCACGGCCACCACGGCCGACGGTGACGTCACGTCAGCCGTCTGTCCTGTGTGTGTGACGTCACTGTCCGGCGGTGTGTGGACATGGCTGTACCGCTGTCTGTGTGTCTGTCTGTGTGTCACGTGTCCACCTCAGACGTGTCTCTGCTCTGTCCACAGAGGAGCTGTACCGTCAGCTGAAGAGCCAGGAAGGCCGTTGGGTCAGAGTGTTGAAGTGGTAGTATTGATGCGCTGCACTACCGACCGTGCAGTGATGAGCTGACTGCAGAGAGGCCGAGCCAGTCGGCCGGGGCCGCCAGCTGACTGCTGCCGTGTGTGCTGCACCAGCCGGCACTGAGAGCGGCGCCGGTCAGCCGGCACACGGCCCCGGTGTCCGCTCTAGTGTAGTGATCTAGTTGTAGTACACCTTTTTGCGTTGTTCGATGGCCAATCAGCAAAAGCCATTCGTCCGATCAGCACATAGGTGGCGCCAGTGAGAGGCATTCCGGCAAAACCTTCGGCATATGGGCAAAACGGAATGCTGATCCCACTCCACAGTTCGTCAGTTGGTATTACCTTCGCTATTCGCCATAACTGATTGAGTTCCGGCAAAACCTTTGACGATTTGGATAAATGCTTCGTCATTCGTTAATATCTCTTCGTCGTTCACCAAAACATCCCCATGCTAATTTCGGCATTCCTCATAACATTTCGTCAAAACTAAAAACAGATCGCCCCTTTACAGAGAAGTATAAACATGACCGCGTTTATACAGTGCAGTGCGAGGCAGGGGCGTCGACACCGGTCCGACTTTTCCGACTAGTCGGACCACTTTTTCGACTAGGCGGTGCCCTGCTGTGGCTCGCGGGGGCCCCTGCTGCAGACCGCGGGGGCCCTACTGCGGCTCGGGGGCCCTGCTAGAGACCGCGGGGGCCCTGCTGCGCCTCTGGGGCCCTGCTAGACACCGCGGGGCCCTGCTGCGGCCCGCGGGGTCCCCTTCTGCGGCCGCGGGGGGCCCTGTTGGGGCTCTCGGGGGGCCCTGCTGCGGCCACGGGAGCCCCTGCCAGGGGCCCCTGCTGTGGCCACGGGGGCCCCCTGGGGGCCCCCACGGGTGGGGGCCCCCCGAGAAAAAGTCGGACCAGTTTTCCTTACGCGTCGACGCCCCTGGTGCGAGGCATAGGTGGCGAAACTCGTAGACCATTGATCCACATAAAAATCGGTAGCGTTCATGAGCGCCATAGGTACAATGTAGATGGACGTATAGCTGACATGTTATCGGCTGATTGATAAATGGACAGGCAACAGAGCAACAGGCTGGATAAGTTAACCCCGCCTCAAATACCAAGGAACAGGCAACAGGCTGGATAAGTCAGCCCCGCCTCAAACTAAGGTGTCCGGCCGGCAGGGCCCGGCTTGCCATCTGTCAGCCATTCCCTCGCGAGTCCGACCGGCGCGGCCGCCCGAAGCGTTGTCCCATGACATCGCACGGGCAGTGACGCGATGATGACGGCCGACTTCGTGGTTTGTATCGAAGCGTTTAGGAGTCCGACGCTCAAGAACCTACATGCCTACTCGGTATGGCGCCGGCAGTCTCCTCGTAGCTATGGCATAACTGCCTTTTTCGGAATTCAATGGTTGGTTGCAATGGTTGCAAATTGCGCTGGAACTGTCATAAGCCTCATCCCTGAATGCGTGATTAACCCGCGCCCAGATGGGGTCTGCCGAGCAACGCGGTCTGATGGGGGGGGGGCCATTTTGCCCCCCCCCCTCAGATCTCGAGAACCACGCAACATAGCGACAAGCGGTAAACGGTGTTGGATAGCCCCAACAAGGAACTACCTTGTGACCCAATTTCATTGACCTCGGTCAAACCGATGACGTCACAGGTCAGGTCAAAGGTCGAATTTTCACCGTTTACAGGCATTTCAAGAAATGCGTTGTAAAATCGTGTAAAATGCATTTCATTGAAAATCATCGATGGGGAAATGTTCTTCAAACACATATTTTGCTATTTGAGGTCACTGATACCAGGTCAGGTCACAGAGGTCAGGTCACTGGGGGGTCACAATATGAAAGTGTCGTGTGATACATGTTTTATGGTCCATTTTACATGACAAATGCGATTATGTGGGTCAGACAGACTTTAGGGCCAGCTTAGGTCATGTTTTGGTCAAGGTCAGGTCAAGGTCAGGTCAAGGTCAGGTCAAATTAGGTCAAATTTCAAAGTTGATATTTTTGCATAAAATGGGTATCGATTCGATGCAGCTCGTCACGGGGAGTTCAATGGTGGTCTCCGTTTTGCGCTACGAGGTCTAGAATTGCTAAAAATTGAGTTCAAAAATTTGACGTCATCAATTTTTAACAGTTTTTTCGCTATAACTTGGCCAAAAAAAGATATATCGATCTAAAATTTGGTATGTATATCGAAGAGCGCAGGGACTATCACATATATTCCGGTTTTTTCGAAATTCGAAAAATTTTTGGAAATTTTTTGAGTTTTTCTAAAAAAATCAATTTTTTTGATTTTTGGGGGTCAAAATCCAAAAATTTCAAAAATCCGAGATAGCAGTTTTGTAGCGCCGTTTTTTCTCTACACAACCACATAAAGAACTTTAAAATTGCTTGTGAACTGTAGAATTGGTGAGCGTTTCAAGATGTCATGTTTTTTGCTCATTTTTACTCGAACATGACCTCAGTTTGACCTCAATAACTCCTGACCTGAGGTGACCTGTGACTTGAAATTTTGTGTGAAGGTGTCAAATTGATGTCCGGTAAGGTACCCAAAATTTGGCGGCGCTGCGCGCCGCCGTTTTCTCGCTATTTAAGAAAAACCACAGGGGGGGGGCCAAAATGGCCCCCCCCCATCAGGGCGCGGGTTAACGTTAAACATTGAATATGGCTAGATAAGCACTACATCATTGACATTTTGATCATTGACGAAAGTTTTAAATAAACAGTCATTGTTTACGCACAGTACCGATGAATTTTGCACATCGACTAACCATTTTGTGAAATGTCGAAGCATTATGACAATCTGACAAAGTGTTTTGCCTATGACGAACATTGTGCTCAATGACAAAGAGTTATGCAGAATAATTAAATGGAGTCCAGCCTGTTTTGCCGACCGTCAAACAGTGATGCACGTCGCCGATGGGTTATGCTGAATGACGCTTGTTCAAACTGATGCCGAAACGGTTATGACGATTGGCCATCGAACAACGCAAAAAGGTGTAGTAGTAGTGTAGATGTAGTAGTAGCACACGGACGTGATGTAGTGGGTAATTACCGGGCGGGTATTGTGGGTAATTGGACGGGAGATGTGATGTAGTGGGTAATTACCGGGTGGGTGTTTTGGGTAATTGGACAGTGAAAAGTGATGTGCTGGAGAGACTACCGATCGTAGCATTATGCTTTTCTGTATGTAGAACACACGTCTCTGACCGTCCGACTCGGTTCACCGCGCCTGGTCCCGGCGGCACGGCCGGCCTCGGTCACGTGACCGTCCCCCGGTGGAGTCGGACGGCTCGGTCACGTGACCGCTCCCCCCGGGTCTGGCTGCACCTCGGCTCGGCGGTGCTGAGCGCCGTGCTGAGCGTGTTGTGACACGTCCCACACGGACAGCTCTACTCGACTACTGGCTAGCTGCCGTCCGAGCTGGCAGTATACACGCGGTGCCAGTTCAGATGGCGGCCGGCCGCGCCGCGCCCGCCCGCTCCGGTCCCGGCCGGCGGCCGTCACCCGGCCCGGGGCGGTGACCGGTCCGTCAGCTGACCATTGGTCCGTCAGCTGACCATTGATCAGTCAGCTGACCATTGGTCCGTCAGCTGATTGGTCCGTCAGCTGATTGGTCAGTCAGCTGATTGGTCCGTCAGCTGATTGGTCCGTCAGCTGATTGGTCAGTCAGCTGACCATTGGTCAGTCAGCTGACCATTGGTCAGTCAGCTGATTGGTCCGTCAGCTGATTGGTCCGTCAGCTGATTGGTCAGTCAGCTGATTGGTCCGTCAGCCGCCCCGCTCTCCACCGGCGGAGCGCGGCGCACGCCGAGACTCGAGACGTCAAACACATGTCTACTATATACACGAGAGGAGACGCTTCAGCTGTACCATCTGTAGCCTGGGGCAATTAGTTACCGGGCGAGTATTGTGGGTAATTGGGTGAAGTGATGCGATGTAGTGGGTAATTACCGGTCGGGGATTGTGGATGATGTAAACCTGGGTATGGTATAGCCGGCTATCCAACGGTCGGATATAGTCAGCTGGATGCTACTGAATTGTGTAGAGCTCTTACGGCACCGGTCATAACGAGTGTCCTCGCGTCTGTCCGACTCGGTTCACGGAAGCACGCCGTCACGGCCCGGGAGCGCGCCGCCATGTTTTGTGTCCTCTGCTTCGTACAGGGGGGTAATTGGGCTACCGACCGACTGGGAGTCGGAGTCGGAGTCCGTGTCAATCAAGCTGCCTTGACTCCGACTCCGGAACGGTTTTTTAGATTTTAGGTATCACTTGGCCATGCTACTGATAATCGGCTGCGCTTTGACTAATACATTTTACACATGTCCAGTCTTTGTCCTGGAAAACAGCTACCTTCTGAGCTTACCTCATCATCTGTGCTACTGTCCTGATGACCTGAGTACAGTTTGGCTCCACCAGAGGGGGGGGGGGTGTTTCTGCGCCGCTGTGCCGCCGCTGCTGTGACCTGCCGAGCTGCGGTCCCGGCTCCAGAGCACACCGTCGGCCGTCGAGGCCTGGTCCTTCTGTTCCGTGCACACCATCAACAGGTGTCGTATATATCTATACGGGCCCAGCGTGGCAGTTCACCGTTAACCGGCGGCCACACACTGACTGGCTGGATCGCCACTCGCCGTATTTCACCGCCTTCCCCGGTGCCGGGCGGACGATAACCTGTATACGACACACCGTTTTACCCGCCGTCATTTGGGATCAGGTCTGAGAGCCGCCTCGGGTAAATCAGCTGCCGTCTCGAGCCATTTGGCTGGATCTAGGATCCCATCGGATCCAAGATCAGGATAACTACGTGGTATCAGACCACACATATACCTTTTCTGAGATTGCTGCACATTACACATGTGTTTTGGCCACTCTGACTGGTGTCATGTGAGTAGTTCCCTGTTGCAGTTCTGTGTGTGTTGTATGGCCTGCACCCGTCCCCTCACAACTGCAGTGTTCGGTGCTGGTCAGTGACCCACAGCTGACACCGGGCCTCCCACCGCCGGCGGATGAGCCGGCCGGCCCGTGCCCGGCCCTCCATTCCAGCCGCCACGGCCGGCCAGCGGCACTTGTCCAACACCGGCTGGACACACTACCGACTCGGAGACACACACGGCTCGGGAGACAACCGTGGCGTGTTCTGGGGCCATACACGG